TGCAATTTTATAATCAAATTGAGCAACTCAAAGAGACAAATCAAATGAATCTAACATTGCTTAATTATGATATCATCAAGACATTCAAATATTCATATATAAAACTACATCTGATCATGAGAATCATTATAATTTGCGTGATTGAGTGGTCTGAATTCATGCAATATTAACTAAGGATGTCACTCCCAAAATCTATAAATAAACTCCCACTTTCTTCCTGAAGGGGGGTTGGACTGGGAGGTGACGACTGAAGAGAGCTCCAAGTTCTTGAGGATTCTCGAGCTTTATAACTCCCATGGCTGGATGAACATCACCCGCCGATGTCAAACCGTCATCGTCGAATTACAATCACCAGGCTGCCACTGCTAGCGAACCATCACCATAGTTATAGAACAACGATGCCAAGTTGCTGTCGTAAAAGGACCAACGTCACCCTCACCAATGATGAGTTATCACTATCGTTAGGCCACCATTGCCAGACCACCACCACAATCGTTATATCATTATCTCTTGAGAGCCACTATGGTAGATCACCGTCGCTCGACCTCTTCGTTGTTACGAAACATCATCGTTGTCATCGGATCATCTCCTAATTATCGTCGATGTGCCTTAACACCTTCATCAAGTCACCATCATCGATGATAATGAATCCAGATCTCTATCACACACACTTTATTGGTGGTAAAAATATTGCGTGCGGATGAGATATGTGTGGATTACTAATATTCTAGTGGTATTATGATGCAATACCACCATAATACCACCAAAATATCAAAAATCCATATGTACAATGTCTTCACCCAATATTTGCTCCTATTGTTGCTAATGACTCCAGAATAACGGGCTTGATCCAAGGAAAAAAGCTATTACATTAGGGGTTCGAACTTAGTCTTGATTTATGCCACCTGTATAGTCTCAACTCCACTGAAAAAAATAAGTAAAAGCATTGACTTCATGCTTGTGTTGTGTTGGTTTGTATTGTGACAATTTTATGGTTGTATTGTGGTAAATTTATGTTTATATTGTGGTATATTTATGTTTCTATTGCAGCAGTTTTGTGATTTTATTGTCGTAAATCTGTGATTGTATTGTGGTGACTTTGTGGTTGTATTGTGGTGACTTTGTGATTGTAGCATCGCGATTTTATTTAATCCACATAATCACCACAATAGAACTATAAAACCACCCTAATACAATCACAAATTCACCACAATACAACATATTTATTTATTTTTTTTCATTGGGCCCAGGACTGCACAGGTGGTATAAATTAATTTGAATCTAGACGCAATGTAATATTTTCTCTATCCGCACGATCAGCCACATCCTTAAAGTGCCACAAACTTTACATCACCCTGAACGGAGGCATCACTCACAAATTCACCACAATACAACATATTTATTTATTTATTTTCATTGGGCCCAGGACTGCGCAGGTGGTATAAATTAATTAGGCAATGTAATATTTTCTCTATCCCCACGATCAGCAACATCCTTGAAGTGCCACAACTTTACATCACCCTGAACGGAGGCATCACTGAATCGTCTCCAAACAAGCGCTTGGCAACTGCAACAGATTTAACATTTGGATTATTATGACTATAAAAATACTTCAAAGAATGTTCGAGGATTTCAAATAACTTAAGAGGGATGGACGCAAAGAAGATAAATAATAGACGTCTCATCCTGAGGACGATCTAAAGACGTTAACAATGGCTACATATTTGTCAAGAGCTGAATTTAATAAAGATCTTGAAAATATTAACAAGCTCAATCACACATTACCAAACTCAAGCCCAAACCAGCCATTCATTTCAGCTGTGCTACAGACGAAGAAACTTCTCCGCACTCACCTTTACATTATAGAAAATCCACTAAAATACCAAATACATACACTTTAATTCTCTTAACTAAACAACCAAACGCTTTATCCTGACAATCATGAGCTGCTCATAAAACTTCCTAGTCCTGAAAAACAAAGCCAAAGCCACACCAGCTCCCATAAGACTAACTAACCACATTATCACAAATGATAGCCTGAAACAATGGTTACCCACACAGGTCCTCTTCTGAGACTCCATATCATATATATATCCAACCACTCTCACAGACAGTACATAAGATCCACAAGGGCTTGCAATGGCAATGGCATTAAATATCGTGCCAAAATGCCTCAAACCAAATATCTCCGAACTAATTGTAGGCATTAGAGACCACTGAGAACCATAACACACCCCTACCACCACATAACCCAAATAGAGAGCACCTGGAAAACCCGAAGCGATCGATGCATGGCCGAAGGCCATAGTTGCAAGGGTGATCACCAGAAATAGCGGCCTCTTACATCCGTGTGAGCGGAAGAAATGATCGGAGATGTAGCCGGCGACGAAACGACCCGTAAAATTCCATATGCTCCAAAGAGAAACTAAGGCAGCTGTTTCTTTGCTTTTGTAGCCCATAGAACTACCAATCTGACTAATGTTATTGACTGTGGCTAAGCCTGAGCCCATCCCACATGCCATACAAAGAAACAACAGCCAAAAGTTGAGTTTCTGCATGGATTGAAAAAGATTCAAGTTTTCCTCTGGATCTGCATCACATTTTCTCTGAGAATCGGCTGAAAGTAAGCTTTCATGAGAGATGGAGGGTGATGGAAGCATGGAGTCTCTCAAGTGGGCTTTTATTAGGATGATTAATGGTGAGGAAAGTAAAATTAGCAGGAATATGAGAGTCAGGATGCGAACTGAAGAGATTAAGCTGAGAATATTTTCCAGTAGTATATAGGCCATTAGAAACCCAGCAGTAATTAGAGCGATTAGGGAGAAAACATTCAGGAATGGTCTATCATCTTGAGAATTTGTGGGATAAACCTTCACAAAATACATAAGCAGAAGTGCAAATGTTGTGGGCAGTAATGAAAGCATCAGAAGAAAATAGCCTGGCTCGTTGCCATACAGTGTGCAGTACACATGGATTAGTATGGCACCACTTAGACCAAGGTAGCCCTGACAAAAGGTGTGGACAAGTTTTAGAGAAAAAAAATTGGATTAAGAACATAAGTGATGATTTTTGTAAATGAAAAAAAAAGGACTACAACAGCAAGTTTTTTTCTTTTAATAGCTGATAATTAAAAGCTGGATATGCTAAATTTCTAATCAGGGTTACTTATTTTAATCCCTCAAAACCGAAGAACCCCCAAAAATAACTTGATAGATGTGTCATAAATTTCAATGAAAAAATGTTCATCTTAAGATGTTATAAGTTCTTTCGATAAATGTATTCTTTTCAGGCTCTCTAATTCGAGAGAACAAATTGGAAGTAAAAGACATCTATAGACTTTTCAAGTTAAACTCTACACTAGGAAATTATTAAAAATGAGTAAGATAAATAGAAATTATAACAATCAAGAATATCAGAGTTAAAAGATTGAAAAATCTGCATTGTCATGATCACAACAAAACTCACCCCAAAAGCAAAAATCATCCACTTTAGAAATCAAATATGGACAATATAGGTCCGCACACCAAGCGAGCCAAATCTGAAGAAAGCATTGCATAATATATTTTTCAAATAGGATTTCCTGTGATTAAGAATCAGAATAAAGAATATGATCCTAATTTGCTCGGGGAATTCTCCACTTCTTGAAAAACAAGAATTCCTTCCGCATGATTACAAAATTTAATTTAAAATTTGCTTCAACCTAAACATTGCTACAAAATTGCCTGTAAACTAGAAAATAGTAAAAAAAGAAATTGAGTAACTAAGTGTGTAAATATGAAAGTTTAGGTTTGAGTATGTAAATAAATAAAAATTGTGTGCTATGTACGTAAATACCTCAACAAAAAAATTGTCGCTGCAGATCACATGGTAGAATACCAATTAATCTGTGATCTACTATGCAGCTCTCTGCGGTTTCAAAGTAATTACTCAATCTTACAATAGCTTATGCCATTTGTTTATCTTCCGTTGCCTTGAGATTTGCTGATGCAAAGAAACTTTAGATGTTCATCAGGAGTGGCCATTTTATCTATTATCCACTGTTTCATAAAGATGATCTTAAATTAACCTGCTATTCTTTCAGCTGGAAAACCTCCTAGCAAATAAAAATTTTCGTTCACATATTTTATTAATAATAAAAAAGGGATTAACATGCATAGTACTCAAAATTATAGGATATAAATATTTAGCATCTAAACTTTGCTATACACCAACTACTACTCGATTAATTCTGTTAACACATTTTGTCGGATGCTCAAGAAAAAAGAATGATTAAGATTAGGCGATGAGGCCGGCTAATACTAGCGAGAAGCCAACTAAAATCAAGTAAAAAGGCTGATGAGGGTCAGGCAAAGGGAGCGAATAAACTCAGAAAAGAGCAGACTAGCATCAAGAAAAAGCAGAATAAAATCATGGCATGACTAGCTTAAGATCAAACGCTCATCGAACATTCACAAATAGAGACAAACTTCAAAGAGTTCAACTGGGATCAAACGAAGAAGCCGTCTTAGATTAGCAAGAGACCAACTATATATATATATATATATATATGTTGAATCCTTTAGGACATCGGGTCTCATATTGTATGTGATTGTGTGGAGAGACCTTTGTAAGAAAAGTGAATGATGAATATATTCTCCAGGCCTAAATTATATGTCATGTTTTTTTATCCCAAGAAGCCGTCTTAGATTAGCAAGAGACCAACTATACTCATATTGTATGTGATTGTGTGGAGAGGCCTTTGTAAGAAAAGTGAAGGATGAATATATTCTCCAGGCTTAAATTATATGTCATGTTTTTTTATCCTCCGCCAATGGAACGGAGAAGATGATCTAAAGAGAGGGGGGGACAAAGAGGTCCTATGAGAATCACAGTATGAGATGCCACGAAAAAGACCCTGAGAGTCGATCATTCTAAATTCTCTCACCTCCCTTATTATACATATTCAAAATAATATTATAATATAAGTCATAACGTACGAAATCTGTCTATGGAGTCTCGTTGAAAAGATCGCGACGTGCGTGTCAAGTGACTCATAAATGAGAATGTGACATGCATCAATCTTAATGTCGGTCTTGACTTTTGCATTATTATAGTTACGAGAATCGCCAATGAGCCGACTTAGGCTAGTGAGCCTGATTGGTCAGTTCCTCGGGTGGTACGGGCATGTCAGTTCGGCAAGCCAGTTTGCTAGGTCAGCTCAACAGCTAGAGCGGTGCAACTTCCACGCAGATGGGCAAGCCAGTTTGCTAGGTCAGCTCAACAGCTAGAGCAGCAGTGCAACTTCTACGCAGATGGACCCTCCAGGCCCACAAGACCTATCAGATATATGCTTCAGCCCATGATAGCCTATTTGTGGTATACATCTAGTTTTTTGATTCTCTAGTTCCTTCGACAGGTTGTTGAAAGAAGAAAAAGAATGAATAATGTTCAACTTTGTTGTAATCAATCATTACTATACCCTTCTTAGGGTGTGTAATTGTCAATATATCTGATTGTGTATTTATGACTTCTTTTGATAATCTTTAGGAGTCGGATCGTGAGATAGCCTTAGCATATCTGCAATGATCACAAACTGGGCTCCAGATTAGTTACGCCAATGTCCAATTCTCAATTTGGGAGAGACATGGTGTTTCTCATATCTAGTTCTGATATTTTCTCGCTCAAGGGCTCACAGAGGATAATCTTTTGGCCCACTGTCGGGCTTGGACTGTCATGGGGACCTTAGCTCTCCTACAACGAGTAGTCTTTATAGGCCTCAAAGCAAGGATAAGACTGTCTTCCCCTGGGGACTTATAGATTTGCAGAAAATAGTCATGAACTAATAGGTTTTACGATTTTCATTTTCTCGCTCAATTTTGACATTGTGGGAGATAATAAATAATGAATGAAGGTGGATGTGAATAAAATGTAAATACTTCCCTATACTGATAGAGTTGTTGACATTACGCCTTCCATTCCGTGAGGGAATAGCTATCATTTTATTTGAAATTCAACTGTGGTGCGAGCGTTAAAACTTCGATGCAAGCGTCATTATCCTATAAAAAAATAAAAGAAAACGATTTGTAAACATTTAAGAACATCAATTTTGGTAGTTATATAATTTTGTTGAGTGTAAACTACCAGTTGGGTTTTTATAAGTGCGCATTCAAGGGTCATAGTTTGTATAAAAGTTGTAACACCATGGGGGGAAATTTTTAACAAACTCTTCAGCATCTTTTCTGAGTGTAGGTCAATAGTAACCTTATCTTAGTATTATGTTTATTAGGATTCTCCCCCTTGAATGACTTTCACATTCTCCTGAATAGACTTCCAATAGGATCTTAGTAGTTTCATTTTCTCTTACACATTTGAGAGAAAAGAAAGTCACCGACCTTTTGAACAATTCACCGACAATGATCTGGTAATGCACGAACTTAATTTCAGCCAAAACGACTCCTGTGGATGGATATCTTTTGATCGGGTCGGCCGAGCTTGCAGTAGATTCCGATTCGACATTTGCAATTTCAACTTTTTCAATGGTGAGCTTGTCTAGGGTCACACCATTTGTTTTCAATATTTCCTCTTTAGAAAGAATGTTGGTGAATTGATTTTTTTCTCACGGAACATGCTTGATTTGAAAGTAATCAAGTTTGCTTATCTTAGTTTTGGCTTTTATCAAATATTTCTGCATAATATAATCTTGCACTTTGAAAAATCTGATGAGTTGATTGTCAACCAATTGGAAGTCAGATTCGATGAGCAGATTCGTATCCCCGATCCCCAAGAAAAATCCCTTTGGTGAACAGAGTTTCATACTCTACTTGATTGTTGGTCAAATCAAAGTTAATTTGACTAGAGTGATATAATGTGAATCCAGAAAGACTTGGCATAACCATATAAACTCCCTTCTTTTGATTTACAGATGCCTCGTCTATATAGAGTATTCGGAGTTTATCTTTCATCGACGCTGACTCCTTCATTTACCAATCATTCGAAAATATCAAATATAATCGACGACCACCTGGGCCATGAATGACATACTTGGTGTATAAATGATATCAAACACGCTTAACTCTGCTGATCATTTTAGTAAACTTTTAGAGTGATCAAGTTTTAATAATACAGATTTCAATGGATGGTCAATTACCACATGTATGGAGTGACTTTTGAAGAAAACACAACTTCCTTACTGAGACAATCAAAACTAGTGCAAGTTTCTCTATAATCATGTATATTCATTAAGCTCCTGGCCTAACTTTGCTTACACAGTAGATAGGGAATTACTTTTTATTCTCCTCACATATAAATACTGAACTGACTGCTTCCTTCCCAACTCCTAGGTAGATGATTAAGTTCTCTCCTGGATTGGGACTCTGGAACAGAAGAGATGAAAATAGCAAGGTTTTTAATAGCGTGAATGTCCAACCACAATCGTCAATTCAAGCAAAAGAACTGTAATTCTTCATGGTCTTGAAGAATAGGAAGCATTGATCTCCCGACTTTGATATGAATTTGTTTAGGACTATGATTTTCCTGTTAAGATTTACATCTCGTTGAGGTTCTTCAAAGGAAGCATGTCTAGCATGGCTTGGATCTTATTAGTATTCAGCTTTATTCCCTTGGATGTGAGTAAATACCCTAAGAAGTTTCTTGAGCTCACTCCAAAAGTACATGTTAGAGTAATGAGCTATAAGTTAAACTTTTTCAAAGTATCAAAATTTTTCTCCAAATCTTGTATGTGCTGCTCGAGCGATACTTTTACTAGGAGATCGTCAATCAACATTCTTTCCCTTTTTTATTCAAAAATATTACACACACCAATCTTTGATAGACCGCACCTGCATTTTTGAGATTGAAAGATATTACATTATAGCAATATATCCCTATATAGTGATGAAGGAAATTTTTTATGCGCTAGCAGGATGCATTCTGATTTGATAGTAGCCTGAAAAATACGTCCAAAAAACTCATTATTGAGTGTTCTATTGTTGAATCGACCTTGTGGTATCGGAGGACTGCCTTTTGA